CCCTCCCTCCCTCCTTCCTCCCTCCCTCCCTCCTTCCTCCCTTCTCCCCCCCCACTAACTTCCTTTTTTTCTCTCTTACCAATTTCCAAGATTCTATGTAAAGTCTCCCAGTTTTGAAATATTAGGGTTAATTCACGCAGACACACAAGCAAAAATTGCCTGAAATCGCTCACCTTGTGTTGAGGTTGTGCTGAACCATAGGCTGCCAGTCTGAGATCTTTGGGTTTTGTTTGTTTGTTTGTTTTGCCTGTTTTGTTTTGGATTTTTTGAAACAGTATTTCTTTGTATAACAGCCCTGGCTGTCCTGGAACTTGCTCTGTAGACCAGCTGTCCTTGAACTTACAGAGATCTGCCTGTCTCTGCCTCCCAATTAAAGGCTGAGATTTAAGGTGTGCACCACCACCACCGGGCTGAGATCCTGTTTTAATAATGTTCAGTGCACAACCTGAGGTGGCTGTCGTGAGGAACTTGGTGGCGCAGGCCTGCACCCAGCTTCTCTGGAGGATGCAACAGGAGGATTATAAATTCAGGACCATCCTGGGCAGAGGGTGTCCTGTGAGTCCTTAGCTTTCCAGTTGTTTGTTCGCCACTTGCTAAGGTGCAGAGATCCAGACTCAGGTCCTTCGATAGAGCACCAAACACACACTGTTTACCACTGAGGAAACTTTTCTGCCCAGCCAGACTAACTTTTCCCCAGTGCTAAAGACTAGACCCCTTGGCAGAAAGATCTAGAATCTGGTATACGCTGGAGATGCCCAGTTCTTACAGCCTGAGTTAAGAGCTTTGATTAGCACCACTTACTGCTTTTTGTTTACGGATTGGGAAACTGAGGCCCAGCGAGCTGGAGATTTCGTCCCCAGATTCCCCTTCCTCCCAACTAGAGGTAGCGTCATTGCACCCCACTTAGCCTGGCTCTCGCCTGGGCTGCCTCAGAGGCGTTAAGTAGGACGCAGCAGAGGTAGGGGGAGGGAAAGAGACCAAGAGGACAGCTCCTTGTTCAGCTCAGCCCAGGAAGCCAACATTAGTGCTATCCACATGTCCCCAGTGGGGAGGGACCACAGGCTTTCTCAGGTCATGAAGGTAGGGAGCTCTGAGATGCCTCTGAGCATGTGTGCATGCTTGTGTGTGTGAGAGTGTGTGTATGAGTGTGAGAGTGTGTTGAGAGTGTGTGAGTGTGCATGTGTGTGAGTGTGCATGTGTGTGAGTGTGAGTGTGCATATATGTGAGTGTGCGTGTGTGCGAGTGTGTGTGAATGAGAGAGTGTGTGAGTGTGTATGTGAGTGAGAGTGTGTGTGAGTGTACAAGTGTGTGTGAGTGCACATGTGTGATAGTGAGTGTGTGAGTGTACATATATGTGAGTGTGTATGTGTGTGCATGAGTGTGCGAGTGTGTGAGTGTGTGTGCATGTGTATGTGCATGTGCGTGCGTGATGTAGCCCAGGCTGGCCTCTTCAAACTTATTATGTACCCAAGGGTGACTGTTCTAGGTTGCTTTCTCCTGCTGTGATGAGCACCAAGACAAGTTTGGGGAGAAAAGAGCTGTGGGCTATCCCAGAGGGAAGTCAAGGCAGCAGCAGACTATGGAGGACCGCTGCTCCCTGTTTTGCTCTCCAGGGCTTGTTTAGTTTGCTTTCTCAGACTACCTGGGACCTCTCACAGTAGGCTGGGCCCTCCCACATCAATCATCAGCCAAGAAAATGCCCTCACAACTTTGCCTACAGGCAGTCTGATTGAGCTGGTTTTTTCACTGGAGGGCCCTCTTCCCAGGTGACTGTAGCTTGTGTCAAGTTCACGAAAAAGTAACTAGCCCAGTGACTTTGAACTTGTGGTCCCCTGCCTCCACCTCCCACATGCTGGGATCACAGGCATGTACCACCACAGCAGCTTCTGTGGCCCTGGGGAGAAACCCAGGACCCGATGCCCACCAGGCAATCACCAGTGCTAAGACGCACCCACAGCCCCTTTTTCTATTGTTTATTTTGAGACAGGGTATCATTAACTTGCCTAGACTGGCCTGAAACTCACTCTGTAGCCCAGGCTAGCTTTGAACTTGTGACCCCAGTCCCAGTTCCTGTGTTCACGGGATGACAGGCCTGTGCTATACCAGGCCTGGCTCAGGTGTACCTTGATTGATGTACCTAATGTTGGGGGATAAAATGACCTGGGGACCTGCCTGGGAGGAAGTGGTAATTTGGGGACAGTTCAGGACAGTTGATCAGGGCCCCTCTTACCGAAGCCTTGGGGCCCACTGGCAAGGCTGACATGCCCAGAAGGCTAGCTCACTCCAGCGTAGCAACTGTCACAGGTGTGACTGACACCCCAAAATAAACATAGACATACAGGCTCAGGCTTGACACAGCAGTGGATGAGTGAGCTGTGCCCGCTGTGGAAAGGGACTTGGTGGGACTGGGACAGCGTGGGCAGGTGGGCTCTGCAGCCTGACTGCCCGGGCTCCTCGCTGAGTCTCAGTTTCTTCACTTGGAAAGCAGAGGTTAAGTACACTCTTGACCCCTGGGTAGCTGAGACAGAACGGCAGGAGTGGTAAGCTATACTACCCCTGCTGTTGGTTGCTGGGTAATCTCAGGCAAATGACCAACCTGTGTCTCAGTTGCTGCCTCTCTGAAACTGGCTGTGACCCATCTGAGAGTGAGTGGCAAGGAGAGGCTGTGGGAGGCAAATACGGCCTGTTCTTGCAACCAGACAGGTCACAGATCTGGGTTGGAATCCTGACTTCTGTGCTGTGTGACCCGGAGCAAGCCACTTGGCCTCTCTGAGGTTGCAATGACTGTGTTCCGAGCCCAGGAGTCTGCTAAAACCAGTTTTGCCAGATCAGTCTGTCATCCCATTTTCTAGCGAGAGAAACCGAGGCAGAGAGGAACACCCTCCTTGGCAGGCTAGGATAAGCCTTCTGACCCAACTCCTTCTCCCTCCTCTGGGCACCTAGTGTTTGCTGCCTCAGTTTCCCAACTGTCGTCTGTGATTCTCTGGCAGGATGTGAAGTATCTGGCGATTAGCGGTTTCCTATTTCTGCGTTTCTTTGCACCCGCCATCCTCACACCAAAGCTGTTTGACCTCAGAGACCAGCACGCAGATCCCCAGACCAGCCGCTCCTTGCTGCTTCTCGCCAAGGTGTGTGTGTGTGTGGGGGGGGGGGCACCTGAGTCGGCTCAGCTGAAGAGATGCATGATGGGAAAGATCAGAAAGGCTGCCTGGGAGAAGCCCCAAAGAAAGCCAGTTTCCTTGTGTGGGTGTCTCTGTTTTCTATGACACGGACTTGCTGGGCCACTGAGACGTAGAACTTGCCCCATCACCCAGGCTGGCCCAGGACTCGAGGCAATCCTCTTGCCCCAGCCTCTCAAGTGCTGAGATCATAAATGTACCACCTTGGGAATTGAACATGGGGCCTCATGCATGGGAGGCGGCCACTCTACTGCTGAGCTACAGCCCCAGCCCACTTACCCTTTTCTTTTTCGTTTTTTTTTTTGAGATCACGAAAACTCACTCCTTTCAAAAGAAATGGGAGAAGTGGGCTAGCAATCATTTATACCTTAGTATGAATTAAGCTATTCTTTTTTAAAAATATTTATTATGTATACAATATTCTGTCTGCGTGTATGCCTGCAGGCCAGAAGAGGGCACCAGATCTCATTATAGATGGTTGTGAGCCACCATGTGGTTGCTGGGAATTGAACTCAGGACCATTGGAAGAGCAGGCAATGCTCTTGACCACTGAGCCATCTCTCCAGCCCCCGAATTAAGCTATTCTTGACAAAGTAGCCACAACTATGACTTTCATGGGTCTGCATTTGATAAAACTGGGTAGTGCTGGGTATTGGGTTAACTGGGGGTGCAGACTCCAAAAGGGAGAGGGAGGACCAGGAAGTGCCCGAGGTGTACAGATATGGGAATCGGAGTTCGGGCACAAAGGGCACTGGCCTCAGAGTGACCTTGGCCTCCTTTCTGCTTTGCTCCAGGCTGTGCAGAGCATTGGGAACCTGGGCCAGCAGCTCGGCCAGGGCAAGGAGCTGTGGCTGGCCCCCCTCCACCCCTTCCTGCTGCAGAGCATCTCACGTGTGAGGGACTTCCTGGACCAGCTGGTGGATGTGGATGGGGCTGAGGGTGAGCCCTGCGATCCTGCTGCTCCTGACCTGTGATTCCCCCCCCCCTGCCCCGGGGGCCGGCGAGTACGCCATTAGTCCCCAGTTCCCCAGGACCAAGGTCAACTAATTAGTCAGTTAACATTCGTGTCAGGCTCAGTTAGGTCCTCTGTACCAATGTGGTCATGTGACAGGGTCGTGGCATGGAGTCTCTGGTATGGGTAGGTTTAATAAGTCTCCACCATTTAATAGGCACCATCTCAAAGGCCCAGGGCGTGGGCTTCCTGAAGGAGAGCTTGCCTTGCCTGCATGAGGTCCTAGGTTCAATACCAGCACTGGAAAAAAAAAATAGAAAGAAAGTTCTCCTTCTAGATGCTTTGGACGATGTGATTAATGAGGGGGCAATGACTCAGTGGGTGAAGAGCTTGCTGAGCAAGTTTGAGGACCCGAGTTCAAATCCCTATGCTCACCTAAAATCTGTATATGGCTGTGCCTGCCTGTAACCCCAGCATTGGTGGTTTGGAGACAGGTGGGTCCTCAGGGCTCCCTGGCCAGTCACTGAGGCCAAGAAGTGAGCGCCAGATTCAACAAGTGGTTCTGTGTCAGAAAATAAACAGGGAGCAACAGAGAAAGATTTCAGATGTCAATCAACCTCTGGTCTCCACGTGAACACATGCGCACACACATGCACGCACCACACACACACACAGTGAGAAGAAAATCTTGGGCCTATTCATAGAATTTCATTCTAATGGGGGCCAAGCTGTAAGACAATGGCCAAATAGCCAGGGGGTTACAAAGGAGGGACGGAGGGAGGGGTGGGCAGGTGAAGTGGTTCACTACTCTAATCCCAGCACTCAGGAGGCAGAGGCAAGAGGGGCCAGCCTGGTCTACAGAGAGTTACAGGCCAGTCTGGGCAACACCAGAATGAAGATACTGTGACTTTTTGGAGTTTGATAAGTTAACATCTGCTCCCAGATGGGGATGCTGCCAGGTGCCCAGAGAATGGAGTTCCCAGTGACTCACCTAGCGGCTCCCCCCACCCCCACCCCGGGCGCTATGCAGCCCTGGGTTCAGAGCGCCACCTAGCGTCAGTGAGGTGGATATGACTATAGGCTCAAACAATGGCCAAACCAGCATGCTTCGTTTTGCTCTTATGGGAGATTCGGGGGTCCTCAGAGACACTGACTGGGAGAAGGATGGCTTTTCTGGCTTCTCTCTGGGCACACGGAATAGCTAAAGGACATCTTGGTGCAAGACGGAGGCACCGTGGCTAGGATTCGGAAAACGAGTCTCGATGTAAGAGTGTTCCAAGCAGTGAACAGCACAAGGTCCTGGGGTGGGGAAAGAGAGCGACAGAGAGGCTAGTGCAGAAGAGAGAAGGAGGAGAGATCGGAGAACGTGGAGCACTGGAGAGCTGTGGCGAGCTGGGCTTGTGCTGGGAATGGAGCGGTGTCATGTGCTCTGAAGCAGAGGACTTGGGGTTAGAGGCTACTTCCAAGAGGGAGACTCGGGTCACATAGGAGTCACCAGGGGCAATGACTTTGGTGACCTTGGATGGGAGGGGGTGCTGAGAGAGGTCTGTAGTCTGGAGCTCTGAGCAGGCTTGGGAAACGTTCCTGGATTGGCTGGACACCCTGTGCTGGCCAGTTGCAGTCTCTCCTGCAGGTTCCTGGGCTCGGAGCGGGATATGGATACCACTTTCCCATGCTTCTCAGTCCCTTGCCTCAGTGGCTGGGGTGTGTGTGTGAAGGAGTGGGGTCGGAGGTCACAGCCTTGGTCTTCCCGCTCCTTAGGAGCAGACAGTGCAGCAGGGGCCAGAGGTGTTACCCTTCCCCTTTCTCTGTTCCCAGAGGCTGGGGGGCCAGCCTGTGCCCTGGTCCAACCTTCGACAATTGTTCGGGAAGGCTTCCTGCTGAAGCGCAAGGAGGAGCCTGGAGGCCTGGCCACACGCTTTGCCTTCAAGAAGCGCTACTTCCGGCTGAGTGGGCAGGACCTCTCCTACTCCAAGACTCCAGAGTGGCAGGTGAGACTCCAGCCACAAGAAGATGCCACGAGGGTGCTTGGAGAAACTGAGGCTCAGGGTGGGAGTTGGGGTAACTGCTTCCCCAATATTATAACAGCTAAGGCAACACATCCCAAGCTTTTGGCTGGCCCCAAGCTTGGCCAGGGACAGGGACACTTGCTGTTACACACTTGAGCAGGTGCACATTTCATAGCTGGGCATTCTGACCAGGTGTGGACACGCACGTGTGGGGGCCACACGGTCTACACCAGGCATCACAGACTCGCATACGATCCATTTCTTCTGCTGGCTGTGTGCAGGCGCACACACATCCAGGCACTCGCCCAACAACTCAGTCACTGGGCACAAGCGTTCCCTGTTGTCCGTGTGTGCCAGGCTCTGTCCTAGGCAGGTGACACCACTGTCTTCCATCCTAACCAGCCCAGGGGAGACTAGGACTTGGCATGTAGGCATGGCTTGCATTTCATTGGCTGTTTGGGTTGTGAGGCTGGGTCCACGGATTGAGAAACTTTGGCAGGGTCGTTTACCTTCATGCCTCAGTTTCCTCATCTTTAAACTGGGGAGACTAACAGGCCCAGTCTCAGAGAGTGGTCATGATCATTGAGTGAGCTGAGGGACGTAAGGTTCCAAAAGCCACAGTCAAGTGCCATGTGCACAGTGAGTTTCCATAAGCAACTGCTGTGGCAAGGATGGTGGTGAGGCAGAGGGGAATGATAGTGATGATGGTGATGATGATGGTGGTGATGATGATGATGGTGATGATGGTGATGATGATGATGGTGGTAATGGTGATAATGATGGTGGTGATGATGATGATGGTGATGATGATAGTGATGGTGATGATGATGATGAGGATGGTGGTGGTGATGGTTATGATGGTGATGGTGGTGAAGGTGGTGGTGGTGGTGGTGATGGTGGTGATGATGATGATGATGATGGTGATGATGATGATGATGGTGGTGGTGATGGTTATGATGGTGATGGTGGTGGTGATGATGGTGGTGATGATGGTGATGATGGTGATGATGGTGGTGATGGTGGTGATGGTGATGATGATGGTGATGATGATGATGGTGGTAATGGTGATAATGATGGTGGTGATGATGGTGATGATGATAGTGATGGTGATGATGATGGTGGTGATGGTGGTGATAGTGATGATGATGGTGATGGTGGTGATGATGGTGATGGTGCTGCTGCTGCTGATGGTGATGGTGATGGTGGTTTTGGTGGTGGTGTTGATAATCCTGGTTATGATGGTGGTAATGATTATTATGGTGATGATAGTGATGATGGTCACAGTGATGATGAGGATGATGGTGTTTATGGGATGCTGGTGATGATGGTATCAGTGATGTTAATGTTTTGCTAGAAGCAAACTTAGTCCCAGAAAAGTCAAGTCACTCAGCAGGTGACAGAGCAGGACTGTGGGGAAGGCACAACAGAACTATGCAGAATGAGAACCTGTCCTTGGTGACCCCCCTGGTGCCATATCCAAAGGGATGCTGCATGTGGCTGCCTACAGGTTCACTCATCCATCCCAGTGTCCTGCATCCGTGCCGTGGAGCGCGTGGATGAGGGTGCCTTCCAACTGCCCCACGTCATGCAGGTGGTGACGCAGGATGGCACTGGGGTGCCACACACCACCTACCTCCAGTGCAAGGTAAGGTGTCACCACAATCAGGGGTGGGGACCACGGTTCAGTCTCACTGTGTTCTGATGGCCTCTACCCCTTGCAGAATGTGAATGACCTCAACCAATGGCTGTCGGCCCTGCGTAAAGCCAGCGCGGCCAACCAGGACAAGCTGGCTGCCTGCCACCCTGGTGCCTTCCGCAGCGGACGCTGGACCTGCTGCCTCCAGGCTGAGCGCTTAGGTGAGGGAGGGGGGTTTGCTAAGGCTCTGCCCTCCCCATCTGCCGATCAGTAGCGTCTCACCCTCGCTTGTGCAGCCAGGAGTAAGTGACTTAGTTTCTCTATTCCTCGGTCTTAACTGGGAAGCGGGGTTGAGGATAGCCCTTCCTCCTTGGTTCTATTAGCTGATACTGAGTTGATATATGCACAGCACCGTCTGGCACATAGTGCTAGCTACACGCAAGTACTGTTTCCAGCATTCCCACTACGTACTAGCTGCCCAGAGCACATGGCCTGACTTGTTGAGGCTAGATGGCAGTGACAACCATGGTGACGATGGATGACAGGTTGTTACACTGCTGCTGGGATGAATATCTGGCCCTGAGCACTCTACCACTGACCCCCATCCCAGCCCCAATACAATTATCACAGTGTTAGAAGGCTCCGGAGACTTAGAGAGTGTCCAAGCCCCAGCCAGTCCCAGGACGGGGGTTGGTGAAGGCTGCCAGGAGATGTGACCTTGAGTGGCTAGAGTTGAGTGGAGATGGTGAGTGAGGGGTGCAAGCCCATGGGTCAATACGGTCTGTATCAGCTTCCTTACTGTTTCTGTGATTAAACTCTCTGCCAAAAGCAACATAGGGGGAAAAAGGGTTAATTTGGCTTACATTTCTAGATGATGATCCATCATTGAGGGAAGCTGGGCAGACATTTGAAGCAGAAACCAAGGAGAAACAGGGCATGCTGGCTCACTAAGAGGTTCACACTCAGCCCAGGACCACCTGCCTAGGGAATGGTGCTGCCCACAGTGGGCTGGGCCCGCCTGAATCAACTAACAATCAACACAATCTGCCACAGACGTGACCATGGGTTAGCCTGATCTGGACATCCTGGTATCTGAGTCTCTCTTCTCAGATGACGCTAGGCTGTTAACAGTTAAAGCTGAACAGGGTCAAAGTTCGTGAGGCTGCAGCTTCTGAATCAGAGTGGAGGCAGGGGGGAGGCTGGAACCCAGGCAGGAGCTACAGGGGGGCTTGGCTAAGTGGAGGAGGTTTGCACAGGAATCGGCATGACAGCTGCGCCTGGAACGGGGCAGAGGCTGCTTGTTCGGAACAAGACTTTCTTGACAGTGCTGTGTACCCTCAGCTGCTGGCTGCAGCCGCACGCACTCAGCCGTCACACTGGGAGACTGGAGTGACCCACTGGATCCTGACGCCGAGGCCCAGGCGGTGTATCGCCAACTGCTCCTGGGGCGGGACCAACTCAGGTGGGTATCACCTGCCTCGTTCCATTGTGTGGCCTCTTCATATTCATTTATTCCCCTTCTCCAGGGTTTCATGGAGCCCAGGCTAGCCTTGAACTTGCTATGTAGCAGATGACCTTAAACTTCTGATCTTCCTGTTTGTACTTCCTCAGTGCCGGCATTATAGGTGTGAGATGCCATGCCTGGTCTGGACTTGCAGGTGTGAGCCACCGTGCTGGGTCTGGCCTTGCAGGTGTGCGCTGACATGCCTGGTCTGGCCTTGCAGGTGTGAGCCACCATGCCAGGTCTGGCTTTGCAGGTGTGTGATGCCGTGCCTGGTCTGACCTTGTACAGGTGTGTGCCACCATGTCTGTTTTATGTGGTGCTGGAGACTGAGCCTCGAGCTCAGACATGGTTGGCAAACTCTCTACCAACTGAGCTGCAGGCCCAGTATTTCTGTTTTCTTTCTTTTTCTGTTTGTCAGTGTTGGGGATAGAACTCAGGGGATTTGCACTCCACTGAGCTCCAGCCCAGCCCTATTTATCCATTTTTTAGTACACTAGCTGAACTTTCAGAGGTGCATGGGCCATGGGACCTTGGTGTCCAGGAAGTCAGGGCTTGGAATGATCTGTAAGGCAGAATGAATTGTTTTAGGTAAGGTTTCTATTGCCGTGACAATACCCCACGACCAAGGCAATGCCAAACAAACAAACAAACAAAACAAAACAAAAAACAAAAAAACAAAACCCTAAAACCAGTTTAATTGGGGGCTTAAGTTTCAGAAGGTTAGACTCCATGGTGGTGGACCAAAGACATAGCAGCAGGAACAGCTGAGAGCTCACATCTCGATCCGAAAGCAGGAGACAGAGAGAGCTAACGGGGAACAGTTTGAATCTCTTGAAACCTCATAGACCACCCCTAGTGACACACCTCTTCCAACAAGGCCACACCTCCTGATCCTTCCCAAACAGTTCCCCAACTGGGAGCCAAGTATTCAAGTATATGAGCCAGGGTGTGTTGTTCTTATTCAAACCACCCCAGGGAGCATGGGAACTTACAGTATGGGGGGCTCCATACTTGGGCACAGTTGGTCTATTTAATTTGGCTTCTGAACCTCCCTGGTATCTCGGGATACCTCCTTCCCTCTTCCTGGCTGGAAGGGCTCTGTTATTATCAAAAGGTTTGTTCCAAGCCACCACAGAGAAGGATCTGTACTGACCTGCCTGGATTCAGATCCTGGCCTGTTGGTGGCTGTGTGGTGTTCAGCTGATCACATGACCTCTCTGTGCCTCAGAGAGCAAAGGAGGAGACAGGGCATTGACTTCACAGTCAATACTGCTAAGGGTCAGGAGCTAATCCAGTGAAAGGGACACCACATAGCTTCCCACATATAGGAGACATTATTCCACTGCATGGGCTTAGGCAAGTTCCTTGGTCTCTGTGTGTGTCTGTGTTTTACCTGGAGAACAGTGTTACTGGTAAGTACCCACCTCATGTAAGCTGCCTGTGTCATTCAATGAATTCATGTGTGGACTTCTTGGTGTAGAGTCTGCTACTCTAGAAATGTCTGTGGTGACAGAGTGGTGATTGGTTGAGATGATGATGGTGATGGTGGTGATGATGATGATGGTGATGGTGATGGTGATGGTGACGATGGTGATGATGATGATGGTGGTGGTGGTGATGATGGTGGTGATGATGATGATAATGGTGGTGGTGGTGGTAATGGGAGTGGTGGTGATGAACCTCTGGTTCCTCCAGCAAGCAGCAGAGAATCTTGGGTAGGAGCAGCACTGTGCCTTGGAAACCAGCTTTGTCCCTTTTCCTCACAACCCTAAGGCTGAAATTGCTGGAGGACTCCAGCCTGGACACAGCAGTAGACATGGGCCCTGGGAAGGACTCAGATGCCACAGATGGTAAGGGAGAAAGGGTTCCCATCTTGTCCCTTGCAAATGCACCCTTTGTCCTCCTGCATTCCCTCATGTTTCCAGTTTACCAGTGGTACCCTATTGCTGCTGAATTTTGGGATTCTTTCTGCATGGGATAAAACTAGAGCCCCAGAGAGCTACTGGGCTCTGGTGACAGCCACCAAGAGCCCAGTTCACCATGCTGACCCCCATGGCCTGCTCTTTCCCTTCAGGGGCCCGCACAGAGGTTCTGGCCCAGCAGAGAGATGCCACCATCCATCTGCTGCAGGTACTTGATGACTTGGAGCAAGCCCACAAGGAGTTCCAGAAGCAAATGGCCCTCTAGGATGCTGGATGCTGAGGAGGTGGAGCCATGGGGGCCTCCTCAGTGTACTCTGGCCCAGGCATCTCCTCGAGGCTGCCTTCTTCACTGCTGTGGCCTGAAGCCTCCCAGACAAAGCCTGGTCCTGTGTGCCCTGTGGCCAGCCAGGGCATGGGAGCCTTTGGCAGGGCCCAGTCTTGTATTGACCACACCTCGCTTTCTTCTCGGAGCCCAGTCTCCACTTTACTGGGTGCACCCTGAGCTGCTGGACACAGCTGTGCCGAGGGCTTTCCTGACTGTCTCGGAAAAGCCCTAAATAAGCTTCTTCCTGTTTCCACTTCTGTGAGTCTCATGATCTCACAGATACTTCTGTATCCCCCTCGCCCCCATCTTATTTGGCGGCCCCAACCTCAGGTTTCTGAAACCAGTTTTTTCCAGAATGGGCTGAGAGCCCAGCATGCCAATTCAGAGCCTTGACGCTGGTCACAGGTTCTTTCTCCCTCTCTGAGCCTCAGTTTACCCTGTATAAAGTGACGAGTGAGTGTGCTTAGCTGTGAAGTGTTAAAATTGGGGTACCCTAGGGGGTCCATGAGATTATTGACTATAAACATAAGTTCCCAGGTCCTGTCTGGCCACTGAATCCATCTGAGGATTTGGGGGGACAGGCATCTGAGTTCTGGGGTTCACAAGTCTGGACTGTGGCTTGAGGTATGAGAGACCCACAGAGGGTGAAATGTTTGGAAAGACTTGGCGGGCAGAGCTGAAGAGCCTGTGAAGCCTCCTGAGTTTGAGTGGACAGAACAAACTCCTGGCTGGATCAAGAGCACCAGAGTCGGTGCAGCGCTATCCCACGTGTGACCAGCAGAGGTCGCCTGGAGCCGGAGCATCACCTCCCACTGCCTTGGGTACACCTGGGCTGCCAGAGGCTCTGTTAGGAGGGAATGTTTCTTCCCGCTCCTTGTTTCAGGGCAGGGTGGCAACCGTAGGCTGGTAAGGTATCTCCCAGCTCTTCCACATCCTCCTGGAGGGCCACGCAGAGTTCCATCATCGTTGTCTCTCTGGCGTGCGTGCGTGTGTGCATGCGCACGCGCATATTCTTGCTGATGAGAAGAGTTCTGTTTCCTTCTCTAGATGCTGTAAGACAGGACAGTGGGCCCATCCACTGTTTTCTCCCGCTGCCCCGGGAAGTGGTCCTATGGTTACCATTGTCTCCCAAGCCGTCACTCCCCAGTGTTCCCTAGAAGCACAAACACCCAGCACCCTCTTGGCAGAAAAAGGCCCGACAAGGAGAAAGACCATTTATTTCTCCACCCACAGTGGGACTGGTAGATTTTTTTTTTTTTCAAAAGAGCAATCGCTGGCGTCCCTTTAAAGCTTGGCCGTCTTCCATCCCAGCAGCCAATCCTCAGAGGCGGAGCTGGTGAGTTGCCTGGGCAACGGGCCTCTGGTTGGCCTGAGAGATCAGCCGCCCACTGCCCACTTCCAAGGCGTGAAAAGTTAACGCTTTGCGGCCTGCTCTCCGTTTTCAATGCGTGGGCTTGAACAAGGCCTCCCCTCGCTCCTGAAGCCAGAAGCTACAGCTTTTGGGTCTCAATGTCTGGAGCGGTTTAGTGGGGGAGAAGCTGGTACAAAGGCAAGAACAACGCCGTTGCCTGGGATAGACAGAGGTCTAGAGATGGGCACAGGAGGAAGAGGTTTGGGGTCCCAGAAAGATAAATAGACACAAGCACAAAATAAGACAGCCTCATCCCCAGTGGCCTGCGGAAATACTACTCTGTGACCTGGGGTTTCTACCCCATTGACTTGCAGTGCCCAGTGGGCGGGTGGCAGAGTTGACATGGGTTAGAGGGATGAGGCAAAGGGGCAGACTGGCCCCTGAAAACCTTGCAGACTCCCCACTTCCCCGGTGCTTGACCCAAGTCCTGGGAAGGGGACACAGTCTATTAAGATGTGATGGAGACACAGGTGGAATCCACAGGATGTGACAATGGGAGCCTTTCTGTCTCTTTTCCCCCCAAACTAGGGGAAGTCAGAGGCACGTGGGTGTACGTGCGTGAGCGCGTGCGTGCAACAGGACACGTGTGTGTGCGTGTGTTGTGTGTGTGTGTGTGTGTGTGGCGTGAAGGGCAAAGCTCCGTCTTTCCCATAGGGAGGTCGCCCTCTCTGGCCGTTCTGTCTCTGCTGCCCTTGCTGGGAGCCGCAGGTTGGAGCCAGCTGGCCTGGTGTCCTCCTGTCACTCCCACTGCCACCGGCCAGGTCCCCTAGTGCTTCAGGCTCCTCCCACCTGCAGGGAGGCGGGTGCCTATCTAGGGGCAAAGCAAGAGGGAAGGCGGGCAACTTGAGCCTCAGGCCTTGGCCATGGCCTCAGATACGCCCTGGGCGGTGAGCTCAGCCAGCACGTTGTCTAGGTAGCTGGCATCGGGGTAGCCGTGGCCGGTGAGGTTGGAACCAAACTCCGTCTTGTGATGAATCTCGTTCCACACCACGGTGTCCGACTCGCCCGTGGTGTTGGATGTTCCGATCGTGAAGATGAGTCTGCGCTCCCAGGCGGTGATGAGCAACCTCAGCACCTGGAGGGGTTGGGGAGGGGGTGGGGTGAAAGTTACAGGCAGCCTGGGGCCTCAGCCTGCTCCATTACCATCCACTGCTTTAGGTTCTGTTGCTTTGGGACCTGCCATCAGTACAGATGAGGCTTAGACCCCTCTCTTGTGAATTAGTCCCAACGATTAAAGATTTGGAGATTTCACAGGAAAACTGAAGGTGCTAGCTTCTTCAGTTAAACAGTAAATGAGAATCGGACAACCTGAAGGACTTGAGAGGGCTGTTTGAGCTCTGTGGCCGTACATAAGTTACTTGACCTCTCTGAGGCGTCTTCAGTGGGTGTGAATGGAATGAAGCAGGCTCGGGACCTGCTGTTAGCATGCTGGTTTGGAAGGAATGATACAGCAGGGGCTGTGGACAAAGAGGAGGCAGGCCAGGAAGATGGTGGCTGGGGACCCCGCCCTCGTTCACTGTGGAGAGCCGGTGGGCACCCACCTTCCGGCCCTTCTCATTGTTGGGTAGGTAGCAGTGGCGAGGGAAGCCTCTGGCGGTGAATTTCTTGCCTGGGTTGGGGTGTTCAGGGCCCTGTGGGGAGAGCAGGAGGGCTCAGATCACAGGCAGGTATTGTCTCTGGAGGGCTCACAGGGTCGGGGCTGTGGTCTGTGGGGCTGACCTGGATGCCCGTCGGGATGTCATAGACGATGCGGATGGTCTGGGTGTCTGCGAAGCCGGGCAGCGAGTGTGGGATGACATGAAACTCCATCTTCCCTGGCGGCTGCGTCCCGGTCTTCTCCCCGTAGATGGCTTTGCAGGTGGGGCACTGCAGGCTGCCGTCCTGGGAAGAGCGTGCTGGTCTGAGGCCCCTGGGGTCCCACCCGGCCCCCAGCCACTACCCAACTCACTACCCGGCACCCACCCACTGCACGCGGGGCAGCCCACCTTGTGGCCCACCTTGTTGCCATTGGAGTACATGGCCACCAGGCAGAGCAGGTGGTACATGTGGCCGCAGCGGCCCAGGCGGCCCACAAGCTCGGGCCTCACACTTTTGGTCCGGAGCACGCCCTCATAGCCAGATGCTGTGACCAGCCGCTCCATGCAGATGGTACAGTCCTGGAGGGCCAGGGAGACAGTGAGGAGGGGGGTCATGAGGAAGGTGACAGAGGGGGGACACTGAAGATGGGGAGATGGGTAAACCTTGGCTCTGACCCCCTCCTTAGACAGCCCCTGAGCAGGGGTTAAATGCTTAAGTACCCAAAGCAAAACCCTGAATGGAAAATGTGGCCTAAAACCGTCTATCTGGTGTGACGCTATTAAACGTAAGCCCCTCCCCCAGGGCCTGGGGAGGAAAAGAGGCCTGGACCGGCAGGAGGAGGCTGGCTGGGAGGAGCTGATCCTGGAAGCTGAGACCCCTCCAGGACGGCTCACCTCATCAGGTGGGTTTTTCACCTTCTGCATGTACCTCCGGACTACATCCTCGGGGTTCTTACCTGCAGAGATGGGGGGACATGTCTCAGGAGGGGTGGGGTCAAGCGCTGGGGTGTAGGTGGGGGGGGAGAGGCGGGAAGGAGGTGGTGAAAGGCGAGCTGAGGGCAAGCAGAGGCCGATGCCTACTGGGTCCTAAGAGCTCTGGGGTTGTGTTTGGGGGTCACACGGGGCCTACTTTTCTTGAGGTGTTTTTTCTTGGTCTTGCGGCACACGCCGGGCACTCCGGGCACAGGCTTCACGTCGCTCTTGCTCACGGGGGGCGGGTGCAGGATGGGTTTGGGGGCTCGTGTGAGGCACACGGGCAGCCCGGCGGCACACAGCAGTATCCCAGTCATCCCTGGGAGTGGGGGTGTAGTGATGAGGGGTAGAGTTGTGACAAGCCACGCCCTCCCTTCATGGTTGGTGGATGCCACAGAGGTTGGAGGGCAGGGCGTCTCCCCAGACTCTGACCCCGCCTACCCAAGGCACTACCCAAAGTTGCAGCCAAGCTAACCCAATGGGAAAGGCCGCTCTTGGGCCCATCCACCAGTTCACGAAAGGGGCGGGGATCATGAGCCTGGTGGGCGGGGCCTCATTGGGTTGGGTCTTACCTGCCAGTGCTGGATGCACAGGGCCGGTGCCATTCAAGTTCTTCACGGGGAGCGCCGGAACCCTGTGGGGATGAGTAGAGGTCCCAGCTGGACTCCAGACCCAAGACTCCGTGCTAAGGACCCTGGTTTGCTTTTACCTCAGGCTTCCTCCGGGCACACCTCATCCCCTCTGCCTCTCTGTCATCCCTATGAGCCACCAGGAAACCCCATCCCATCTTGGGCTCCTGTCAGCGATGGGGTACAGTCAGGGGACTCTAATGGAAACATCCTTAGGCTTAGTTCTGACTCTTATTTTTACACATGCTCTCATGTAGCCCAGGCTGGCCTTAAACTTGAACTGTAGCCAAGGATGCCCTTGAACTTCTGATCCTCCTGCCTCACATCCCACGTGCTGAGGTTGCAGGTGTGTTCCATCATACCCAGTTTTCTGTGGTGCTGGGGACTGAACCCGGAGCTTCCACATCCCAGACTCGAGCTCCTCTTCTTACTACAGACGGCCTCCTCCCACCAGAGAGTATTTGGGCCCCAGTTCCCTCTCCTCTGGTCTGAAACCCAACTATTGGCGAGCTAGCTTCTCTTAAGTTTTTTTTTTTTAATTATTATTATTTTCGAGACAAGGTTTCTCCGTAGCTTTTTTGGTTCCTGTCCTGGAACTAGCTCTTCTAGACCAGGCTGGCCTCGAATTCACAGAGATCCTCCTGCCTCTGCCTCCCGAGTGCTGGGATTAAAGGTGTGTGCCACCACCACCCGGCTTAAGTTTTGTTCAATAGAGAGCAAGCACTCTGGAAAGGATTCAGCACACATGCAAGTTGGGAAACACTGCACTGTCTCTTGCTCCAAGATTCCCAACTTATTTGAGCACAATAAAGGCTCTGTTAAGTCCTGACAGCAGGATTCACACAGATAAAGAGCCCCTGGAAAAAACTATTCTTTGCCTTTTAGGGACAACCACAGTTGCTTCTGTCTCTTGGTTCAGCCCCTGATCAGCTGGTGGCACACGGCACATCA